CAGTGCGGTCGGCCTTACAGTTCTGCTTCACATTCTAGTTCATCTATTTTTCTTGTGCGAATTGTGAACACTCGCACTCTGTGCTGTCAACTCAGGCCGGGATTTATTGGAGGACGTTTAGAGGCAGGTAGCTGTCCCAATTTACCTCGAACTCTTGCACGTTTTACTTTATTGCAAAGTTTGCCAAGGCCATTATCCCCGGTAAAAGCTGGTTAGTCTTCATTGTGCGAGTCACATTCTCTTACTTTCCGTCGAGTGCCAGTCTCCAATGATTCCTTCGGGGTGAAATAGTCCCCACATCTAAATTGCAGTGTATGGTTTCAAGAATTCTTGGCTACTTCACATATGTTTACATACTGATGGCATGGAAACGCAGAGAAAGAGACGACTAAAGCTTCGCAAAATGAGTGGCGTATTAGTACTGACGTCCGAGTTAGTGCTGACGTTGTTTCAACTATTACAAACATTAATACTGATCTCCCCAAACTGTGTAAACACTGTCCAAAATGTATTGATCTTGATATCAAATGTCGCTTAGTCAAGAACACGAGGAGTACTTCTGTGACTAAAGAGGTGTTATAATAACTACTTAGTGTCACAAAAGCGATGCGTTCAGATGGTCGGGCCATGTTGCCTCATGTTAATTGCAAGAGGGGGATTACACCAGTGTAGCTGTAGTGCCGAGGTGCGTAGATGAATACAAACGAAGGATGACCAAGTCAGTTCCTCAGCTATGCACTTACTAGGCAAGAAGTTGCGCTAGTTGGTGCAAACGCTTCCTCTTTCAACTTAACAAAGACCAAACAGAACCTTTCCTTATTTTCTAAGTTCTAGGATAGCGTGTCGTTTGAGGAGGACAGTTGTTTTCCGGTCATCAGGAAATGCAAGTACTTACGACTGGAACTGTTCTGCTTCACTAATTGGAGCCTAGGGTTCCAATGCACTTAGTTCTCGAACGTAAAGCATATGGTTCATGACCGTTTCTTGTTCTGTCTCTTTCAAATTTGTCTACAATCGGTATATCAGTGCTGTAAGGCTGGAATAACACTGCCTTCACACAATGCTCGCTTTTGTGACTGTCAACCTTAAGCAAACTTTTGCTTGCTTTTGAAACATCCACACACTTAACTTCCACAGACGTGTGATGATGACCATTTGTTCCCTGATATCACGGCGACAATCAGAAGCAGACATAGTTCTTTTGCTTCTAGTCTCTTTCTTAGTTTTGTTACTGACATGATATTAATGCACCTATTCCTCCGTGATTCATATGGAATTAGACTACTTATGACCTGCTGGTAGATTTGGATCCCACGGAAAATGTTACGATTTTGTGGGCAAGCCCAAGTTGCGACGAATACACGAGCATTAAGCGTTAAATTTGGGTTGCATTGAGGATCCCGCCAATTCTCTTGCAAGACTTAACAACTTTTTGCGCTTGCCCAAAAAGCGACTAGCTTATCTTCAGTCAGGCGTAATGTTCCTTTTTAAATCACCGTATCTTTGAACACAAGCATACATTAATCTCATTGTCAAACACACACCTGTTCGCAATGCATCCAAAATTATCCACTTAGCATGCAAACCGTGTTAGTGCATTTGTGCACTTAACAGAGACGGTCGATTTGCAAGCATGTGGCACTTAGACGATGTAGTTCCGCATATTGGCAGCGAAACCGTGGTTGGAGTCTTATACAAGACGAGCAATATTTTACCTCCACCTACTTTTATTTAGTTGAGTGGGTTGCAACGAGTTAGGCATCCATATGGAGTCAAGCTCATTAGGAATGTTGCCAGTAAGTATTCAAACAAAGTGAGGCCATTTAGCTTAGAAAATAGTTGGTTAAGAAATATATTAATTGTGGATGATTGTGAGTAGTGTAAAGTTCCTAGAAAGTAGAAGTCACGATTATAATTCACGCACAATAATGTGCCTCGACGGGGAATCAAACCCCGGTTCACGAATTGCCGGTCCGCTGCTCTACCACTGAGCTACTGATATATATATATATATATATATATATATATATATATATATATATATATATATATGTAGTAGGTTGAACAAAATCTGTCTTGTCCCTTCGCTGTGAGCAGTAATAGCTGTGGTCTGCAGTGAACTACGTGCCGCAAATGCTGGCCACTCATTTCTTCTTGATCTGCTTATCATCCACGTTTTGTTCAACCGGGTGTCCAACGTAGCTTAGTTGTATCACAAACGCCTGTTCCAATTGATATCCATTGTTAATACGTTAGCTTCTGAATTTTTATTTATAAAGTTAGGCTTAGTCTGAGTTCATAAACAGATCAGTGCCTTGATTTCTTCGCAATCTCGGTGTTTTGCGACAAGTGTATGAATCGCACAACCATTCAGGCGGACTTATTATCGCCCTTGAACATTGTCCAGTGGGTCATGTCCAACATAAAATGTTCCCCCATTGGTGTCTCGGAAGTATCTCACTCTCACCCTATCGGTGTTAGTGATTCGCCTGATGATAAATCACCCATAGTAGGCAAACCGTCAGTTTTATCCAACTTTTGTTAATTCCCTTGCAGCAAATCTCACCGAATCCTGGTGCCAGTCCAATGAAGAAGTCGCCCCAGGTAAAAGCGCTCGCCGTTTCGCTTATTTTACTAGTCAACCCACAAAGCCCAGCTTTGTTGGTGCTTGTGGTGACCAAAATGTTAGTAGATTTGTGCGTTAACGTCCAAGCAATGATTAGTTGTTTGAGCTGCTGTTGTTAAGGAAGCGTATCTTCCCCTCGGTGGCACTGTCTCTTATTTAGGCGATCAATGTGGCGCAGGTCCAATTGAACTGGTTCAACGGCGCATCTATCTTTTACTTGGCACTGCATTAATGATTGCTTTGAATATACAGACATGCAACTACTTGGAAGCAAACCTGATCACGCACGGCGATATGAAGTGGGTATTTGCAGAAATTTGCTAGTGCCCATGGACGCCCTTTCGATCAAGAAACAACTTGACTGTCCACTTCAGGGAAGCAAAGATGCACTTGCAGGATTCCACTGTCAAGATTTCGGGCAATATCCGCTGCTATACCGACACTAAACATCATGTGCCATGTTTGCTAGTGGACACCAGTGGGTTTGGTGTAATATTAATTAAATATTTATATCTTCGCAAATTTACAGTACAAAAGTGAAATTGAATTTTTGTACTGTGGAAATTACCTGGGTGCATTAGGAAAGTCCTTAGTGACATAGTGTTTTTGATCAATCCTCTGCCATTAACATTCGAATAACACGTATTTTATATGAGATCAAGTAACCAATGTCTGCGTGCATGGCTTATTTTTATAACTGCCGATCTGCTGATATCTCTGAACCGAAATTTTTCTTAGCGCTTCATTTCAAATATCGTTCCTGATATCGCGTGTGCCATATTGCATTACGATACTGGGGCTTCCTAACGTGGTCGCCAGTATATCCAATTGCTTGACCGACAAGTATAACCGAAATGTCCAGAAAAACACTAGACGACTGTGTTGTTTTTTCGAGACATATCAATACTGCGAGTTCCACGGTTTGCTGATGAAATAAAACTCACAATTCGTGAATGTAAATTCCTCAGTCGAGATCGCTGAGCCACTAGGACGGACAGCAGCTGCTGTGACAGGGTAACTAGCTGTGATACGGCGCAAGTTGCCCTTCATTCTTACGCATAGTGATCAGCTTGTAGAACATAGGATTGACCCCTGAATCACAATTCCCTTTGCCTAGGTTTCATGTTCCAATAGCATAATCAGCAAGCTTGCGCAGATCCTAATTTTTAAGAATTAGTGTGGCTGCGACGAGTCTCTTTCGAAACAAATCCAAATCCCTCCCTTTGTCAATCGAGCCTAATGAGATCATATTAATGAATGTCACAACTGCTCAATCTGTACTTTGTATATGCCCAGTAATTTGGCGTATATTTAAAACGTAACATTGATATATTTGTGGTAGCAGATTCGTGAATGGAGTAATGTTAACTCGAATCTTCGTACTTTTTGTTACCGGGATCTTGTCTGAATCAGTTACATAGTGCTTGTTTTCCCCTCCCAAGGATGCAATATGTGTTACCTTTCAAGCATGTTTACATCTTTCAGGCAGAGATTGA